AACAACAATTCACAACTAAGCATATAATTAGCGTATACTTAAATTAAACACCTCAAAATTAAAAATGTTACAATTATAAATATAAAATAAAATTACAATAAATGAAAAGGAATGTGAAGTGGAAACATAATTCAGTTTCTTTCTTTTTTTAGTTTGTATCAATAATACTGTAGTTACGAGTATATGTCAATATATATATATATATATATATATATATATTATATTTCAAACAAATAAACAATCATTATTTATACTATTATATAAAAGAAAATTTTATCTCGTGTAATAAAAAATATTTGTTTTATTAATTGATTTTTATCTTCACTTTTTTCCCCAAATAATTATACCTTAATTAATAATATTACATAAATAAATGTGACAGAGACAAATAGTATATGTGTTTACTCTAGTATTTGATAAAAAATGTTTTTTTAATCTTTTATTTCCACGATCAAAAAGTAATATTCAAAAAATAAAAAAAATATATCAAGTTTAATTTACCTCTACAAGAAATGGACATATTAGAGTCATAACATTAGCGTCAATTGTGCCACGAGCACTAGATTGTTACAACCTTTCAAATTTTTATTTTATTTTATTTTATACTATTTAATTGAATAGTGTTGCTCATGACTAGTACTAAATAATATTTTTAATTAATATCACCTAAATCAACACTATTTAAATAACATTTTAAATATATTTTTTTGTAATTAGTATTATTAGTTAAGTTGACAACAATTTTTAAAATCTTCCACACCCTTTCTTAAAATCTTGCTTCTTTTCATCTCTAACTCACTTTCTTCTTTTCTACTCTTTCACCTAATTATTTTTATATTCTTTATTGTTTTAATATTTTCCTCTCCTATTTTTATTTGTTGCCAACGCTAGACGTGGATGGTTGTAAAGACAACAACAAAAATGATTGTGACGATGAATAATGAAGATGAGCACAACATGAAACCAACGATAACACCACCTTCTTTGACCAATATACGAACGAAGAAAAAAATTGTAAAGGTGATGACAAGCAACAACAACATCTCCTCCACTAAATCAATGACTTGTTGTGATTATTTTTGTTTCATTTAACTTTTATTTATTTTTAGCTTTTATATTTTAACAATAAAAATATGTTTTAATTCTGTATTAAATATTAAAAGCACACGATTTTATAATTTTAGAAGATTATCTTTTAAAATTTGATTTAAAAGTTTTAAATCATATTTAAGACAAAAAGTAAAATAAAAATTTTGTCCTGTGAAAGAGTTGGGGTTTTTGTTTTAATGAATAAAGGGTTGGGCCGCGACGTTGGATCTTACTTTTGGGTTTAGCCCATAGGGCTTGTTCAGGCGCTTTGAGTTTGTGATTCATAGAAAGGGCGGTGTAAAAGAAAGTGATATAAAGGTTAGTGGTTTTTCAGGTTTAACTGAATGTCTGAGATGTTACAGTGACCCAAAGGTTTTCTGCATTTCATGACCGTTGCATTCCCTACTCGTCTTCATGTCTCAGGTTAGCGCTCTTGCATTTCTTCATTTTACCCTAACCTATTTTATTGGATATTCCATTTTTCTATTACAATCTTATTTATGATTAGCAAACCAATTTCATTTGCCTTGAACCAATCGTTATTCTGGTTTTGCAGTGGAACCGATTAGACTAATCTTAGCCACCTATTCAATCGCCAGCATGCAATGATAACTTTTTCCTTTTCATTTTCATTCTGCAGGTTGATCATAGAAACTCTTCAGCGCCTAAGCGCGCTAGAACCGATGGTAACTAATGCTTATTATTACTCTTAATTTTCCGTTGTTTACAGATGCTTGCTGATTGCTGTTACCGTTAATTGCGAATTTACAAGGCAGTATTCTCCCAAAACTCTAAGTAAATCCCTCCCTAACAGCATATGCTTCCGTGGTGCAATTCGTTTGTGTTTGTAGGTAGTCGAAGGGAAGATGACTGGACATGCCCTAGCTGTGGTAATGTCAATTTCTCTTTCAGAACGACATGCAATATGCGGAATTGCACTCAACCACGGCCTGCAGCTCATAGATTGGTAAGATATTGTATGTAAACGTTGTGCTGTTGCTTGGAATATGATATGATTTGTATTTTGCAAATGATTTTGAAAAATGTTTTATCAGTCGCCTTGTCATCAGTCGATGTTTTCTTTTAATTTTATAATATACTTATGCTTCTTGTTCTGTGTTATTTAATGCTTATCTTTCATACAAAATGGAGGGTGAAAGAGGATGTGGAAATGAATTGTTTATGTATGAATAACAGAGGCTGAACATATATATATATATATATATATAAAATGTGCCCTTCGGATGAATATGGAATTGTATACTCTTTTTGTCAAAAGAAAAAAAAAATTGTAGGCTATTTGCTTTGTATGCTCAAATTAGTTTTTGGTTAAAACAATTTAGATGGACATAGGCATTGGTGTAAGCATGTGTTTTCCCTTAAAGCATTTTTTATTATGAAATATTAAAGTATTTGTCAATCATAATTCAGAAGTTTGATGTCAAGCCTTTGCAAGCTCCACCGCTGGGTTATTCATCACCAGCACCTTATCTTGTTGCACCACCATATGGGTCTCCTCCATTCAATGGGTCATCTATTCCTCCCTTTGAAGTTCCATTTTCTATAAGATCAGCTTATCATTACAATTATGAAAATCGCCTTTCTACTGGCAGTCCTTATAGACAACTGCATTTACCTGGGCCAACACCATACCCAAATGGATTGATGATGGGAAATGGTATGTTATAGATCTATCTTTTTAAATAAAATTGGCCATTTTAATGACATAAGGAGAAGAGTATTAGGGGTCTTGAGATCCCACATTGATTACGGATATGGAAAAAGTAGAGTTTGTGGGCAATCCTCTCCCTATGAGCTAGCTTTTAGGGTTAAATTATTCCCAATTCAAACTCAAGATAGCATTAAATATTTAGATATTATAGATTTGATATTGCATTTTTCGATTGCTATATATATATATATCCAAACTCTAGAAGTCCAATCATAGGCAAGAAGGGTTTGTTGAGATCCCTCATTGACTATAGATATGGTCAAAGTAGAGCTTATAAATATAAAGGCTTAAAAAATTCTTACCTCATGATTAATGTTGTTTTTCAAATCAAAAAAGCTTTCAAAAAAAGAGCTTGTGTGAAAAGTACACAAGTAAAGGTATTTAAAGAGGGAAGGGGGATAAAGCATCCAATAGAAATGCCTACTTTTGATATTCATTATTTTTTTATGTAGTGCTATAAGTTTTCGAATGGAAAAGGATCATGTGAAATGCATAATGTACTTAAAATTGAAGAGTGAATGTCTATCACCTAGGAAAAGTAAGAGAGAATACTCTGTTTTGCATTTCACAAACAAGCTCACTTCAAATAAACCTTATCCTTCTGTGTTATGATCCTTTGTTCATAAGCTCTTACCATAGTGAATGTAATTTATGTTTTCTGGGAATTCTTTTACAGGTGCAATGTATGGCTTGCCCCCAATAATGGACCGTTATGGCCTCGGTATGCCTATTGGACCTGCAACAATGGTATAATCTAAACTAATTTGTTCCAAACTTGTTATTCCAGGATGATATGATCTGAATTTTTATATTTATAATTTATTTTTCTTTATTGCTTCTTGACATTTTTTCATAATGAATTCTCCGTGGATGTTATGCTATTTGATTTGTTCAGGTGAACTGCTAACTATAGTAAATGCCAGATACTTCCACTTATAACCTGTTAAACTCAAGATTGCACTACAAATAACAATTATTGATAACAATCCTGGAATTAACCGAATCTAAAGTACAAAACTGCTAACATGCCCTAACAAGGGGTTTCCTCCTTCAACAAACACACGCGTGCCACCTCCCCCCGCCCCTTTATTGATCTATTTTTCCGTATCTATATTCCACAAATAACTATCACAGAAAATAATTGCCTATTAATACCAGACAAAAACTGCCCTATTTTAAAATAGCTGTCTCATACATAAATTTAAAATTTATGTTGTATTTTTTCCTGATATAAACCTTCAATGGAATATTATTGATCCTTGGTGCAGAAGCAACCTCACCCTCAAGGCTGAAATGAGCAAATTGGTCTTGATGGCGTTTGCATCTTCCCAAGTAGCTTCATTAATTGGTTGAGAAATCCATTTCACAAGAACCTGAAAAATAAGCTGATCATATCTGGTTATAACTTATAACTTCAGTATTTCTTCTGGTTCAAAGGCTGGTCCATCCACTTCAAGGCCTTTTGATAAAGTAGGTTGGACAACATGCTGTCCCACAAACTCTTTTAGTTATGATACATGAAAAATAGGGTGAATTCTTGACCCTTCAGGCAGTTGTAACTTGTGTGCTGCTGCTCCCACCTTAGCCACAATTTGAAAATGGCCAAAATACCTTGCATTTTAGGATTCACTCTCCTAGCCACAAATTGTTGGTAGTGTGGCCTTGGCTTAAAAACACCCAGTCTCCAACCTAAAACCTGACGTCTCTCCTATGCTTGTTGGCACACGTGGTTTTGAGCACGCTATAGGTGATATGTAAGTTAACCTCTAGTGCTCCAATTCTTGAATTAAGTAGTTTGCTGATTACTTGCAATAAAACTAGCAATTGAGGGTCCAACAATTGGCGCCCTTGTTTTAAAAGCTGGATATGGAACTATTCATTGGTCTTGTTGGACTCGGGTGAATCTCAAATTCACTGGTTTATATCCAGAAACTGCTATCTGGCCTGTCCGTGTAGAATTTCTTGTAGTTGTGTCAATAAAATCTCAAAATGCTATTGCTGCACTAATCTTCAACCCAACTTGTTTGACAAATGGCAACAAGTGGTTCACATGAATTTATTGTAACATTGCTTGAAAATCTCTTAAGCAACTCAGTTTCCAAGGGTTCCTAAATAGATTTGGCAATCTCTTCCTCAAATATGTAAATCAGTGTACCATAAAACCCTCCATACATACAAAGGCTATTGGTATTTTCATTTCTGATTTGGTATTCTAAATTCCAAAATAAAAAAAGGCCCTAGCCAGCCACCCAACTGGGTCATTTCTGTCCGAAAAGTAAATTGAGAGAGAAACTGATCTTGCTATTCTCATGCCTGATATGTTGTATTTACATATTCATTGGCAGTTTGGCACTATCTTCTTCAGGAAGAAAACGTGTTGGTGAGAGGCAACTGATGAAGGAATCGTCAGAGCCAAAGAGGAGTGTGGCAGGATGGTGTTGAAGTTGAAAGATTAGCCATGTGGAAAGAACCTTAAGTTCTAGGCTTTGATACCATGTTCGAAAAGTAAATTGAGAGAGAAGATAACATTTTTGATATTATGACTGAATAATAGTTTGTACAAAAGATGTTAAGCTTATGTACAGGGAGTCTATTTATGATAAAAGCTTTAGCTAATGATGATTATCTTTAATATTGTTATAAATGACCTAGAGTTGGGTAGTTTAACCTTCTTGAACGCTCCATGGATTGTTAAATCTGTGTTTTTTTGATGTTGTTACATGATGTAAAGGAGTCTTAAGATGGCTAGAACTCCCAGCATCTCCACCCACTATCTATACCACTTTGGATTCAGTAACTCCTTCAACAGGGTTTGCGTTTTGTCTAAAAATCAATTTTCATGTAATCAAAATTTTCCAACACAGAATTCTCCGTTATTTGTAATCTATCATGGTTGGAATAATTGGATCTCTTCCACTCTTAATAAGTTGATTAATGGTCAAAGGCATCTAGCAGGTTGGAGTGTTGGACCAAATTGTTAGTGATAGGGTGTGGGCCGCAATTAGGCAAGTCTCTAGGAGGAGGAAGATGACAATTATCTTTTCAGTTATTTTGACAATCATTATCATTATCTTTCTGTTATAAGGATATTATTATCTTTATCTTTTGTAATTAAGAGGTTATTGTCTTTATGTTTTGGGGGAATTATTTTCTTTATCTTTTAGGAGATTTGCCTTTATCTTTTTAGGATTTAATTAGGATTAGAAAAGGGAGACAAAAACTATATTAGGAGTAAATAATTTAGAGAGGGGTGTGTGAAAATATTGAGTTTTGTTTAGGAGATTCCTGGTTCCTCAAACTACTAGGGCAACATTATTCTCTCTGTTTTTATCCATCGTCAATAAATAAATACTGTTCTTCCTTCTTTTCTTGTTTTCTTGGTTTGGGTTCTATCAGTTAGACTGGAGATTGCACAACAAATAACAAAATATTATTGATAACAATTCTAGAATTAACCAGAATCTGAAGTACGGCATTGCTAACACATGCTACTTCCCTAACATGGAGTTTTCCCCCTCAAAACTGCAGAAACAACAAAAAACACTTGTACCTCCCCCTAACTGATCTATTTTCCTGCACTCATCCCACAAATAATTGGCGCATGAAGAAAATTACTACCACCTATTTCTGCTTATACTAAACAATAGTTGCCAGAAAGTAACTTCTTATTAAATCCAAACAATAACTGTCCTATTTAAAAAAATAACTATCTCATACATAAATATAACTGGCTTTTATTTTTTGACATAAACCTTCGATGGCCTATCATATTACTGCTGGCTTGTCAAACTGCGTTTGGTTTTTCCACCCGAACAGGACATTAATTAGGCACGGATACACATTTTCATCTTCAAAGTTGGATTTGGATACTAACCCTTGATGAGTTGAAGAAGCTAATTTTTTCAGAAGTGCGCTATTTTATTTTATTTCAGTCCTAGGTTAAAATTAATCGTTAATATTTACTTGAGCAGGACCCAAGGCTAGGATTTTTTCCCGATGACATGTCCCAGAAAAAAGACATAGGTTTGCTTATGTACATTTTTATTGAAATGGATGCTTGTCCCAGTTTTGTTGCACCCTCTAACCCAACTCCTACTATATTCCATACAGACGCAACTCGTGACAATGACTGGATATGTCCAAAATGTGGTAATATCAACTTCTCATTCAGAACTGTCTGCAACATGAGAAAGTGCAACACACCAAAGTCTGAATCCCAGGTTTTGTTGCCTCTATATCTTCTGTGCACCTTGACAATAATTTTTAAACAACATTGTTTGATGTGAAAATTATGTTGCAGGTCTCGAAATCTGACAAAAATTCTAGTGAGTTGCAGTACATATCTGTCTGACTGTTTCCATCTAATTGATGCAATTATTTAATCTGATAGAGCATTAGTTGACGATGATGCCTCTTTTTCTTTCTATACAGAGCAAAAAATGCCTGAGGGTAGCTGGAAGTGTGAAAAGTGTAATAACGTAAACTATCCTTTCAGAACGAAGTGCAACAGAAAGAATTGTGGTGCAGACAAACCATCTGAATCAAGCAAATCTCCGTCAGCAGCTTCTGGTCAAAATGATCGGGTACGCTGTGTAATATTTTTTCATTTCAATAGCATCCAAAGCTAATCTGCTGTAGAACTTTCACTATTGCTTCTTTCAATTGGATCCTTGGTCAACTTACAGCTAGACATTTTTTTTTTCCTTCATATTTCTCTAATGCATCCTTTGATTTGCAATTATTTACCGTTCCAGTGAGAACTAGCACATGTTGAGGGTTGCGAAGGTCCAGAGTTGTCATCCAGCATTACTGAATTTGGGTGTCTGACAAACAGTCATTTCATCCTCTACGTTGTAGCCTTTGTCAAGTCATCACCTAATTATCTGTGTCAAGTTGTATTTAACTGCGATGGTAATGAATGGCCTTTATGAATCGGTATGATACATGTGTCTGCCAGCTTAACCTGGCAATTATTTTTCGGGTTTGTTGTGATATTTCATAGAAAATTACCCTATACTCTCAGAATCAAGTCATTATACTAGGGGTTGTCATCATGTGCACTTAGACGAGGTATCATTAAGATGGATTCCAAGATTTTAGATAATTTAGGTTGTCACAGTTTAGTATTGGGTAGTTGTTGTCTGCTTCGCTAGCCTATCTTTTTTTTTTTTTTTTCATGTCACTGCTTGCGGCAGGGTGGACAGATCATGTTAGATCTTAAAGCTTGATTTTGAAGTAGATTATTTTTTGGTTAATCATAGATTTCCTTTTAAGTATAATTTAATTAGCTTGTGTCGATAATATTGCACTTTAAGATAAGTTGCTCATTATTTTGAAGGCTTAAATAAGTTGAGGTCCTTGTAAATATACTGGTTTTTGTTTTTAGTCTTTGTAACTTTTTATTTTTTATCCGTGCAATGTTTGTCTTCATCTGTTTTGTCATGCCCCTGCAAAATACTAGTTTTAAAGTCTCTATTTTAACAGCGAAAACCAAAATAAGGGACGGCGGATATTGCATTGAATTTTTTTTTTTTTTTACAATGACTAGAAACAAAAAAAAAAAACTATTGTATTTGTTGGAATGTAAAACATTTAAACTTATATTTGAAATTTGTTTGAAAACATAGAGGATGAAGGATTTTTTTTCTAGAAACACGTAACTATCGTAGAGGAATTTCTCATGTCGGAAACTAGTGCTGTGTAGTGTATCATACATGTAACAATCATGGTCTTTTACGTGTTAAACTTGATTTAATTGGTTTGTGTATGCATATAGATATGTAGCAATATGCATTTAGATTTGTTTAGACTAAAAGAGATGCTAAACTTAATTTGCCGTTCTTATAATTTTGGTTGTAACGTCTGTCTGTCCGCTTTCATCAATGATTCCTGGCATGTTAAACGTAATGTCCAATAATAATAACAGGTCTGTCCGAACACTTTATTTTTGACGTAAATTGGTAATGCAATATCTGCGGAATATACGGGTAAGTAAACATCCATTTTGGGGAGAAAAAGCGATCATCGGCAACTTACATAATTTTTTTTTAGTATCATCTGGTAGTTTTAAAGTTTTAATAATCCACATATGGCAATTTGGCTCCCTGATTTGGACAAAAAAAAAATTTAAACTTCTACAATATATTAAATAAATCACAGCATTGATTGTTATCATAATAGTAGTGAACACCTCTAATGTAAGTTGATATCATTTGAAACATTAAGCATGTAATTTGATTAGAGTACTTTCGCGCAAACATATTTTGAAAAACTAAAATAAATGATAAAGTTGCATCATTTAATAGGTAGGAGCAAGAACTATCCCATCCATAAGAATGTATCCACGTAGTTTGACATTTATCATTTTGTCTACGCAACACGTACTCAAAATAGTGGTCCTTGGCACATTGGGATGCTTGCATAAGATAAACCTGCAGGCAAACAGGTACGTACGACTCACAATTAGGATGGTTAAAGAGGATTATTACAGAAACAACATTTTATCATCAAAATAATTACTGTAATTCTGTCATATCCAACTACAGAAAACTATAACTTTTTTCTGTTCAATTGTTATCTCGATAACTTTGTGAATTGTGACTTTGCGTTTCTAAAATTTTAAATTTACAAATTGAAATTATATCCTCTCCCCACTGATCAGCCTGCGTCACATAATTGGTGCACAGATCACTTTCGATGGAAAAGCTCTTGAACAATGCACACTAGGGAAAGAATAAAAAAAATTTCTTGTCGGTGGTGAATAAGTTAAATGAAGAATTCATTAAGTAAACAGATAACCACAGAAGCTGTTCATTCTTCAATTGGCTAGAGATCGTGTTATAAGGATGTGACGTGTCAATTTTCTAGAGGAGATTTAACTTCAGCAAATATATTGTAGGAAGAGGGGGAAGTTGGCATAAGGTTAGAAACGTAGAATCAGCATGAAACAGAGTGGATGGCAAATAACAAAAGATGCAAAGATGTTCAAACTATTGCATTCTATTCAAGACAAAGAAAATAGCGTTTGTATGTTTAAGTCAAGCTCCATTCCAAAAATAAAGTTAGCCAAATTGAGTACCTCATTTTTTGTCCTAATTAATAAAAAACTGACCTACTATAATATGTCTTAATTATTAATTTCCTTTTATACCTTCTATTTATGATGATTTATATTAGACACCCACTTAATCCTATTCTAAGTGAATGAATTTATTGTCTATTAACATTAACAATACAAGTGACACTCATCAATGAACTTTTGGAATAGGTATAGTGTCATTAAATATAATTATTGCTTAAACCATTTAATTTAAAGGGAATTTTTAGAAATAAAAATAAATAAATTTGATATTATTAATTAAAATTAACTGACTTAACTACTTTTATTAGTCTAGTCAAATTAGTTATTTGTTTCTTATACAAAGAAACAGCGGCAGTAGCATGCAAAAACATTTCCACATTTGAATGTCATTTCCATATGATAACAAATTAAGAAAACAAGGAAATAATCAGTCATTGCAACAAAAATAGATACCGTCAATCAGGAAATCACAAGGGAACTGCCCTTGTCCACAAAAATTAAACACTTGTTAATCCAATTGGTCGTAGGGAAAACCAGACTCAAAAGGTTCTCTGAACAGTTGAAATTCGTGAAAGCGACCGTTGTCATCACTATTTGAGTAGGAGATCCACGTGTTGGAATTGAGTGGTTGATCACTATGCCAATATTCTAATGAAGAAAGAGGTAAGCGCTGACTCACTGCGTGTGTTGCAGGCTGAGTGGCACTTGTGTGACTGGAGTGTTCCAGAGAAATGGATTTACCCTCATATGAACCCCATGAATTGGTTGTTGACAGAAGAGAGAGAGCACGGTGGAAATCTTTTGCAGTATTCGGATCAGAGGAGTTGAGGGAATCTTCTATACCTGCAAGAGGTATTCTACCATATAATATAGTGAAAAAAGATATCACATCCATCTTTTCATCAAACATGGTCTCGCCAAATTCTAAAATTCTTTAATTTATTTTAGCAACAAAAAAGTGACAGTATTTCAAAATTTTGAGATGGAGTTAGTAATCTATGTGACCAAAAAAGTAATATTAAGTCCAGAGGATGAATGTAACAATCTAAATTTAATGCAAAATCATGTAAAGAGAACCTAGATTGATATTCTTGGTTGCAATGTCTTTTGAGGTAAAACTTATGTTGGAATCATTGGAGAGCATAGTGACAATACTTGGTATCTCGGTATTGGCCTTTGCAGGCTTCATGAGAAAATCTTTTGTCTGAGAAAGCTCGCTGTTATGTATGTCTTGACAAGCTATGCTAGTAGCAGTCCTTGAAAAAGCGAACGGGCTCATCTGTTGCCTCCTCTCTGCAGAATAAATATATATTAGAAGATAGATGAGAATAGAAAAACTTGCATCATTCAGAAATCAATTACTTATAATTAACTACTATCTGCTTGGCAACTAGAACTCCTAAAGTTTTATTTTTAACACATCAGTTTTATTCGGGAGGGACATACAAGGTTAAAATATGTATCTGTTACAACTATAATTCACACAATTAACCTATGCATGTCACAAGAGATCTTTATATGTTTAGATACACAACAATTGAAAATCCAATACAATTATAAAATAAAAGGAAAAGAATAAAACCTACAACAAACTAAATAAAGAGAGGAAATAAAGTTTAAAAATCTAAGAAATTCTATTATGTTACATTTATTATCCAACATAACGTAAATTCTTAAGTACGACAACACATAAAAGTTATGTTAAACATTACACTTTTTCTTTTACCAACAATATTAGTAGTCAACTAAGGCAATCCGACCCTACTTGCCATTAGACTTTAAGATTTATTTTTTAGTTTTAACAATCAAAATTATATTACAAGCAGAAATTGAGATAAGCTGCAAACTAAAGCAAGAAAAATATTGTTAATAGATGAAACCAGCTATTGTTATGAATAAAAACAAACTGCAAACTAAGTTGATGACCTAGACAACAACACCAAATTTTTCACAAGGAGAGTACATCAGACAGCTTAAGAAGTTACACCACATGGCACCGAAGACAAAGCTGATTGACTTGATTGGACAACTTCAGGAAGAGGTTTACGGCGCCTTGCATTATGATCTGAAAGACGTCGTCGGCAACTTCTCTTTTTTTCATCAAACTCTAACAGACCATGGAACCTTCAACATTACAACCAATGTGATAAATTTTAGTCGATATATTCCATACAAGCTAAGAAAACAGGAAGCTGAATCAGATTGATTAATATTAATTCTTAATGCTATGATATTGAAAATTGAAAAATATCTGGAAAATATAATTACTTCTCAATGTCAATTTCATCCAAACAATCAGATGTTCGTTAACAAGTTTTACCTACTACATTGCTGGCAAAATCGAAGTTCCAAACCAGCTACAACCACTTTAGGGGATTTGGAATGACTTTCACAAACTCTGTGCTTGCGGTGGTAATTTTTAGCTGATGAAAGGTCAAGACCACATCCTTCAACCTGACAACATGGATATTGTATGCTCTGATCATTGGACTTGCATTTCTTTCCGGAACTTAAAGATGACATGGAATCCTTGGAGAAAGATATGTTCTTGGAATCACTTCCTGGGCAAACATCTTCAAAGTACAACCGCTTACCAAGCTTTAGAGTGAGCAATGGTTCACCAGAGACAGAAGATGGCTCTGGTGCATGAGAAGTTTCTACTAGCTCTTCTTTAGATAATTCTTGTTTACCACTGGAATCATCTTGGGAACTTTCAAAAGTGAATATAGATGTTTTGCTACCCATATTTGATGATGAATTGATAGAGGCTGATTTTGTGGTCCTTGATGAAGAAGCGTGTATTAGCTCTGACCCAGAACAACCATTGCTACCAGATGCATCAAACAACTCAAAACTGATTTCTTGGTTTGCTTCACCAGTCCAGTTTGGTGATTGTAACTTTGAATTTTCTGTTGGATTTGTATTGAAGAATAGGTGATCCCACTCCCACTGTGGGGGAGATTTTGCGTTCCACCGCATCAGCTCAGAAATTCAGTAATCGGGAAGCTACAATTTGGAAAAAGCTCTTGTAGATAGTTAACAAATCAAAGAAACCAAAGTGACCAGATTAATGATTTAACAAAAAGCATCAAGAACACCTGTAAATATTCATTAGAGAAATCATATATACACACATCTAGGAAGTTTGAAACTGCCACAAATTTCAATAATCAACGAATTAATTGCTAAGGCGAAAAATCAATTAACCTTACAAAGGCAACATTATTTTGCTAATCCCATCTATGAGTTTGGCAGACAGATAGGTGGCTGCAGTTTATTAGTAAGAGTTCTCAAGGTGATATCATGCAGCCCCCACCATTCACCACTCATTTAGTCAGTTATCTATTATCCGGGTAAATTTTAAATGCACACCAACTCCCATCCAGTCCATCTGTTACCTGATTTAGTTTAGTTTCCAGCAGAGCTACCTTTACTACAATTTCCTAAATATAAACTTCACTATCATTTACAACTTACAAGGGCATCTTATGAGTCATTAATGGCATAAACATAAATTACTACCATTTCAACATTGGAAGCTTCAATTCCCATAATTCGTATTTATCACAGCTATGTCAGAAGTAGTCGGTCATTGAATGAGACCCAACAACAACTCAAGACAAGACCTTTGTGTTCCCTTCATCAATATAGGAAATCAATCAAACTAGATCCCTAACAACAAAAACAATTAGAACACGATTCATATCGAATGCTACTTCATGGGTCCAATGAGACCCACCATGTATCTTTGAGCATGAGCATGAGCATGAGCATGACCTATCTATCATGACTAAAGCGAAGAAACAAAACAGACACTAAACAGGGTAATTATCCAGACCAAATCCTGAACACACAAAAAAAAAAAAAAGCTTATAAATTAAATTGGTCAAACAAAAAAATTGGGTTCTACACATTTGGTGCTAAAGATTTTTAGATGTAATAGAAGCCAGTGAATTAGCTAGCTGTTTACTATTACCCCGAAAGTTTTGCAGCAGAGAGAGAGAGAGAGAAAAGAAAACCTAGCTTTCTCATATGCCACTTTCCCAAGAAAATGATAAACCCAAAAAGAGTACACATACCAATGAGTAGGGGTCGAAGACCAAAAAAAAAAACTGTTTTTGGACATAAATTTGGACCTTCACTCACATTGTTATCTAAGATTCTAAGCGTTGAGAAAAAGGAAGTTGCAATTTGCCTCTACTACAAATGGAAACAAACAGTGCAGAACAGTAACAGTATGACCAGCAGAGAGTGTAATCATCATCTATTGTCTATTACAATAATAATAGTCTTAAAAAGAGACCAGGAACTAAAAAGTTTATACTATTTTAAAAATTTAAAAAAAAAAAATAAGCCCTTCACTTTTTTTTCTTTTAATTTTGGAAAAAATAAATTAAAGCAAAATGAGTAAAGGAATAAGAGGGGAGAGAGAGAGAGAGGAACTTACAGTGTGGTGGAAATGGAATGGCAGTGGTGAAGAGAAAGAGGGAGCATTGAATTGAATTATTAAGATTTGAATGGGAAGAAGCGTTGCGTTGCGTTGCATTTGGCGTGAGGAGAGAAGAGAGGCATAAAGGCATGAACAGTGCAGCCCCTCTATCTCCAGAGTGGACCCTGCCTTTTTACTCTCTTTTCTATGCTAACATTTCCCAAATGAGAAAACTTGACAAAAAAAAATTACAATTATGATTAACCTCCACACCATTTTGGATAGAGGGAATGGAACTGAAAATCGATAGAAATATTAAGAAAAGAATAAAAAAAATATGATAAGTAATATAATACAAATAGATGAAACGGAAAGTATATTTATGTTTATAATTTTTAATAAAATGCTTATGCTCTTTTTTTATTTTCTAATTTTTATTATTGATGAATGTTAGTGCCCATGACTTCCCTACTTAATGTGAGATGATGCACTAATGATCCATACACATTATTTTGAAGTTGTGGATAGAACTTTTAGGATATCCCTCGTTTAAGTAATAATACAAATAAAGAATTTTTTTTTTTGTGAAAAAATTCTTTTATTAGGTGAAGATTTCATACAAATTTTTGTCGATTATTCAAAAAGGAAATAAACAAGAAATTGTCGATGCAACAATTAATTCATCTTATTTATGAAACTTTTTTGAAATTCTTACATTGACTTCAAACATGAGATTGCATGATTGAGGTTCTCCCTTTAAAGTTACAAAAAGAAAGACAAATTTCATATTGAATATTAGGACTTGTTGATGAAAATATTAGAGAAAGTAATGACGATAATATAATATTTAAACTCATGAAGATTTGATCATTAAGAACAAAGGAGATTCAATTGTTTCTTCTTAAAATTCTACTTATCCAGATTTTTTACGCAGTATGAATGATTCATCATTCTCCCAAGATAGAGTTGTCTTAACTCATAAGAATGACACTATTTATATGCTTAATGATTACATGTTGTCATTATTTCCTACTAAAGAAAAATCATATATAAGTTTTGATACTTCATTCTTAATTAATGATGTTGTTGATAAATATGATGATATCCACACTCTAGAATTTTTGAACACCATTAATGTTTTCATTCTTCTAAATCTTATGTTAAAACTTACAATAGAGGTAACGGTTATGTTATTGAGAAACATAGACCAATCTCCAAGTCTATGCAACAATACAAGGTTGATACTTTCAAAAATAGGAAAATATGTACTTGAAGGAAATGTTATAGTTGATAGTAAATTTGGCATGAAGATTTATATATCTAAACTATCATCAACACCTTCTAATGAAGGATTCTATTCAAATTTCAAAGAAGACAATTCTCTTTGCATATTTTATTTGCAATGACTATTAATAAAAGTCAAAGACAATTTTTAAAGCGTGTTGGTGTTTATCTTATACAACCCATTATCTCCTATGAACAATTATATGTTGTTTATATAGATGTTTTTTTAGAAATTTATAAGTTTAGGTCAGATACATAACTTCTATTTAGATTTGTGACATATTTCCATTAAAAAAATTATACATGTTACATCTTTCTATTAAAAAAAATAATACATTTTTTTAGTATGACATATGTAGAACATTTGATAATAGTTTTGCATTTTTAATATGTAGGATGTTTGGCAGGAGGATTAAGGATGACAACTAGGTGGGGCACTTGTGAGTTTTACTATCCTCATCCTTGTTCTCGTACCTTATACATATCATCATTCTCATACTCAACAAGCATGGAATTTGTGTCTTCATCTCCGTCTCCATCGGATACCAAGTATACCTATATCCATCCAAAAATTAATTAAATATTTTTTAAAATAAAATTTTAAAAAAATGAGAATTTTAACATGGAGTAACAATTACAAAATTACATTAATTAAGTTTCACCTGACATAAATTTAAAATAGAGTAAAAATTACATAAATGTCAAGTAAATTTTTAAATTAATTAATTAATTTTTTAGAATTTTAAAGTGAATACAGGTACGAGATAGTAAGTATATATTCATCTCTGTCTCCATACCTGATTTAATAATCGAATATTATTCGTACTCGTATTCAAATCAAGTATTTACATTAAAGTTAGGACGAGTTTAAGTATTTTTCACGAATATGAATTTACTGATTATTCCTAAGAATGATATGATACACCTGAATATATTAAAAATTGGATGTAAATTGATACGTATCATACAAAATATTTTAGCATCTCATGAATTATGAAAAAAAAATTATTTAACCATATTTTTTTTGTCAAAACTTTTGATGTTATATTTGTTGTAGTTTTCATTTAAGTAATGATTCTTATGATTATGAGGATTTATTATTTTCCCATCTATAGTTTTTAAAAGATTGAGATCTTAAGATTATTGTCTCCAAAATTTAAATTATCAACAAATTGTTATAATTAAATATTCAATCTAAATTATTTTTACAGGTTCATATAAATATAACAACATGCCCGTGCATCTTATGAGTGACACAACTAGTTGTTTCCAAATATGATCAGCTTTAGCTTCTTTTTGTCTTCTCATGAAATCCTGTAACACTATTGTTGAATTCCTTTCTAATCTTGTTCATTTTCTTCTTTTTCTCCTTTATATTTTCTCAACCTTTCAAATTTGATTTTTTTAATGAATGTATGTTCGTATTTCCAATTTTGTTTTGGTAAATATTCCCTATTTAACTTTTATCGTCTCTTTTATTTTAATATTTTAAAAAAATAGTTCTATACTTCACTAACTGCATTATACACGGAATACCACCTTACCCCTAATCGATTATAAATGTCTAGTCGGCACCACTAGTTCGCCTACATTTACGTGAGTTTCATTTATTATATTTGGTTGTAAGGTTAATGAAGTCTAATATTGTTAATTGTTCATAATTATTATATTCATTACTTTATTTGAAGTTAACAAAATTAACAATATGCCCTTGTCAATTTAAACACTCAACATTCGATTAGTCTGGATTTTATGCTATAGTTCACATTTAAATTTAACATCCAATGAATAGAAAATAGTGAATACACTAGTTAACAAAATTTCAACTATTGATTAGCTAAAAAGATTCTAAAGTGGCTAAATTAAGACAAATATATAAATAAAATATCGGCTACACTGGCATGTTTGTTTCCATTTTACTTGGTCTATATTACTAGCATCAATTTATGTCACATAGCTTACACGAAAATTGCACTCAAAATCAAGTGAAGAATACCAAGCTAACCGGATAATCCACAAAACTTGAAGCATAGGAAAAAAGAAAACGATAGGAACCGAAAAAGAACAAAGGGGGAAAGAATACAAAAGGAAACTTTCTTCAACATTCAAGTAGATTCACCATGGTTTGTACTCAGAAGCAACTTTTCCAACTCATAATGGTTATAAAGCACCATCTGATGGCAGTGTGCTCTGAATATTTGAAGGCATAAGGATGTTGAATCCATCTGCTGCGGTAGATACAATCATTCCAGGAATCTGTGCGTGCCAATGTAGCTCTTTCAGGTCTTTCTGACCCTGTTTTAATTCAAAACAAAATAAATAAATAAATAAATACAATTGATCATGGAGTTATATTCTACCATTCACGTAAATATTGAGTGGATCATTTGGACATACCTGATGAATAAACAATAGTTGGGGAGGCAGGTCTTCAGGAGCATTTACATGTTCTTTGGTTTTAGCTTTAAATTCAGCCTCTTCTTCCTCATCCTTTTCTAAAGAAAGGTCCCATATTCTGTGGTGGAAGATTACAAAAACTTCTTAAATTCCAAATATGTAATAATAAAAAGAGGGGCACCCTGGTACTATGAAGCTCACACGTGTATTTGGATCACAGGACACGATAAACTTGTATAATGTATGTATTAAGCATGAAGAGAGACCATTTACCTAAAAATCTCCCTTAATATTATAAAAGCAAAATGTAATTCAGCAGATAATGCTATTAATGACTTTTTTTACTCACGTGAGCTGATTATCAGATGATGAAACAGCCAATGAAGAGGCTTCATGTGGACTCCACTCAATGGATGTTATTGGGTGCTTGTGGTACTCAAAATGTGCTACTACAGAATCCCCTTCCTGCCCATAAATTAATGCACTTTTCACATCAGCTTCAATAACAAAAGCAAAATAATAAGCAGAAAGAAATCAGACAATGTGAAATTTACTTTCTAAATCATAGAAAATACAATAATAGTTTTTCACCATAATGCATCTAGAAGCTCCTTCACACATGCATTTACGTGCACTTGATTCGCAGGTATAAAATAAAAGGTCAAAAAGCATGCGAAAATGAAACAGAGGAAAATAAAGTCATCTCAGACAGCATTACAAATATTGACGTAATATGCCTACGGGCACACAAGGAAAAAAGAATAATCAGAAAAATGAAGCTGGATATAACAAAATCTAGAAATATCATTTACATGAGACATCACGTCATATGCACACAGTAATCTTCCTGTCATAACTAAGGTCAAGCTACCTATACCTTGAGCAGTCTGAGATCACGAATAGAAATAGTCCCATCATCACTCCCAGAGGCCAACATACAACTAGCCAACCTGCTCAGTATAATAAAGTACAAAGTGATGAAGGGATCTAGAATGGCAGTTGACAGAACACCGTAAAATTTATGTATTAATACCTGTTCCATGACATGACATTCACATCAGCATTGTGTGCCTTAAAAGACGCAGCTGGTGACTTCCCCAAACGGATATCCCATATTGCAATGCTTCCATCCACAGAACAAGAAGCAAACACGTGAGGTTCTGTAGGGCTCCACTGCAGGGATTAATTGAACATTACTACTCTTGTAGGATTTATAGATAAAGATAAAATGGTGATATTAGAGTGTACAGCATAAACTATATACTCAAACTACAAGAGCAACTATTGCTTTGCATATTAGTACACATACTTGCAGATCTTCAACACTAGCAGCATGTCCAATAAATGGAGCATTATCAACATTCCATGTTGTAGCAGATTTCGGCTCCCACAGATAAATAGAATTATTGCAGTCCCCTTCAAAAAAGAAGATAATTGTCAAGCTTCATATATCTGTGATAACTGAATATGAAGACATGCCAGGGAAAAATATTGCTAAAATGAAAAATGTATAACTAAATATTACCTGAGACTAGCCTTCCAGGAACAAGAGGACTCCAGTCTATTGCATAACCTTCATCTTTGTGTTTAAATTTATATAACGGGTCCTGATTAAAAACTGCAGCAACTCCTTCGACACCTTCTGTTTCAGTCTCAGCTAGAGCATTGAGGTGGGAGCTTAGGTCCCAGACCTAAAATTGATTCTCAAGTATCAGACTACGTATACTACATAGAAGACATGGCTTAGTACAGTATTTAACTTTTTTTTTTCTGATTGAAAGAGATGATGCAGAAAAATATACTCTGTGATCTTTAACCTTAGCTTCTGGCTGCAGCTAATAATTTAAGAATCTTCAGAAATTTAAATGTTACAATACTTAGAACTAGGCGACCACATTCGTGTCAATAAGAGTAAACTATACCAGGAGCTAGAATTTATCATATTTAATTCAAACAGTAACTCATATGAACTTTCATTAGAAGTATTATAACCCACACTACTATGGACTCAAAGAGAGCCCTGCAGTCCTAATTGATTTATCCAATATACACTAAACAAACGTGTTTTTTAAAGAATATTAACTTATGAAGTCAAGCCTTATGTTTCCATTTTTCAAATTTAATGTTTGCAACATGTGTTAGATAATTAATAATTTTAAATAGCAAAGTCCAGCCACAAAAATCATGTATTTAACTAATTTCCATCCCATTTTATGAACACTTTGATCTTATACACTCTGGCATCTGCTAATCAAAAGTCATACACAGTCAAAATAAATAGATCTTTGTCTTATCAAAACATAACCTCCCAATCCTAGAGACCCCCCTCCTCCCCCTGAATGGGGACACTTGATCCATTTAAGTGACATAATATAACTTTATTAACATCCTGTCATCCTCACATTCCTAGATTTCTCTTTTTCTGATGAATCTCAAATTCCTATATTCAATTCATACATGAACCTTATCATGCTCAAATCTCATGTAAAAACTCAAAATTGCATCATTTGGTTTATTCTTAAAAACCATAAAATGAAACTTTCAAACTACCAAGCTGAACGTTTCTAGATAATGTATGGACAGTAACCAACAAACTTTTCATCCCCCAAATAGAGAGACAATCTAGCATTACTCCCTTTATAATATTCTTCTTTGTCACCTAAGTACACCCAAAGCAAGTACCTGGTCCCAACTTCCAAGCCCTTACATGACTCCGTTCAGTAGCTAACTTCAATCTTTCAAGCAATTCTTTGAGGGTTTTGTGCAGTTTGCACCCTTTTCAGCTTAATTGAACATCCGTGAAAATGCTGAATTTATGTAATGGCTCTACTAGCGTTAACAAAATCTGGGGCATCAACCCATGGCTAAATAACAGCATTCAAAACAAAATTGAACAACACAATTGGCTGAAAAGAACTTGACCTATTAAATAATATACTCCCTCTATTCCTATTATGAACCTTTTGTCTAAGTTGCATTTGGAAACATCATTGCAAATTAAAATAACCCTCTGATAGCATGTAGGAAAGGATTGCCACTACAGAAGAGTTTAAAAGTGCTAAGTGAGAGCTCCTTTCATGAACCAAAAGAATCTGAATTCATTTATAATTAAATTAATAAAACTAAGATAATTAGTTACTTCAGGAAATAACACTCTAGAGTAATTTAACCAAATATTTACTTATTCAAGGTTCTATCCATACATCTCAGAAAACTTGAGCAGAATTTATAATGTAATGTAATTCTGAACATGCATCCAAAACCATAAAAAGCTAGGACTTATCATACATGTTGATGTTAGCCTCAGGCACACATGATCTCATGAACATTTATCATTGCACTTCCTTTTATAAAACAAAGCCGATATGAACCAACACTTTTCCAGCAGATACCCAGTTTTACTTTCATTTATTTTATCATAACATGATGATTGATGAACCTTCCATACCACATCAACTTGTCCTAGTTTTTAATTCTAAAACAAGTAAAGGTTTTCTTGAAATTAGCCTCCAATCAGAAAACTAAATCAAATGGATGAAAATTCTGACCTGCACAAGACCGGTATCAGCCCAAGCTGCACATATATGGGGATTTTGTGGCATTGAGCGTATACGATTGACACATCCTTGGTGAGTAACCTTGCGCAACTATAGATGTGAAAAACAATCAAAATGTAAGTACAATCATATTTAAAGAAGTCAAGAAATGAAACAATAAAAACACAAATGAAGAGGAAGTTGCCTGCAAACTAGGACCCTGAGCATCATTTTCGTCTTCATCCCCACTATCATCATCACTGTCACTATCCTCATCATCCATTCCAGAGTCATCAGTTCCAAGTTTAGGCACTGGCTCACGTCTCTTTCCAGAAATATTTGATACTTTAAAAATTCCAATAGAATTCCAAGAAGGTTTCTCTGCCTGTGGCACATGCATTGCCACAATATGATTTGGTCAATCAAAAGAAGTAATGGAAAAAGACAAAGGAAGCAAAGCAAGTGTACAACATAACTATGAGCGGGTACACATCAAGTTTTGTTTAGATAATTACCACTTATAATAAAAAGGAAAAGAAATTTGTATTCAAAACTCGAAATCCCTTAAAAGGGAAATTTCCTCACAAATATTTGTCTCCAAACCCAAATTTCAACTTCTTTGTTACCCCATGTGATATTTCTAACGAATAAAAAACACTAACCAACTCCAAATTGATTGATGAAACGTCCACAACCAAAAACAAAACAATCATAAGAAACAACACTGACCTGAGTCCCGGCCATGAAATATACTGTGTGGGGAAATTCTGTTCGAACCAAGCCCAGAGAATCGCGTAAAATATCAAAGCTGTCAAAAAGTCCCAAAACGATTTTATAACTCAGATTACTGTTACTAAGCAGAAAGTAAAGCAAGTTTCCATTGAAGGTGGCTAAGATTCTCCATTTGAATTGCAAAACCAAAGCCAAAGGAACTTCACATAACATCCAAATGATCCTATCATTATTAACATTTAACAATGCCAACAAAAACAAGCAGGTTCACTTATCAAAAAATCCTTAAAGTTTTGATCTCTTCCTCTCATTGGGAGCCAAACAAAAAACAAATGACATGAAAAAAAAAGGGCATGACATTGACACATACCTCAAACAGGGCCATCCAATGTGAAAGCCATGAAGAGAGTTGTAAGCAGAAGGATCACACTGAAGCTCTTCACCTTCTTCCAACTTGTCCACACCAGGTTGCCACACCTTCGCTGGAATTTGTGGCGCCGAAGATGAAGAGGACCCACCCTCTTTCTTCGACCCCTGATTATTCCCTCATAAATTTAAGCAAAAATTAAAATTAAAAAAAAAAATAGAGGTGCCCAGAAAAGACCAGCATGAAGTGAGGTTATAAAAGCATTGAATAGGGCATAAGATTAAACCTTGCTCTTGCTCTTGGCTTTCATACGATGTTTAATGCCGCGAGTCATCTTCGATTATCGCAGAGTTGGGAAAACTGAGAGAAAATCGTTAAGGCAGTGTGTTATAAAGGAGTCGCATAACATGTTAGGTCAAATTCTAAAAACAAGCATAACCCATCCAAATCACAATTCATAAAGCGTTCTGGGATTGTTTATGACTAAATAAATAGGTAAAAATCGAAACTTCGCTTGTGTGTGCCTGAAACAGAGCAAAGAGTGCAGAATGTGAATACCTGTAGGTGTTGGGGGCAGAGACAGTGTGTGGTTGAGCCACCGAATGGGGTTTTAGTTTTAGGGCTTAACTTTCAGTAATAATAATTTTTCCTATAAAATTTATGTTTATTTATAAATGATTGAAATTAAAATTTATAATTATAAATATTTTAATATATAAATTATATGACTTAAATATGTTTTTAGTCTTTTGAATTTAAGATAAATTTATTTTTGGTCCCTCAAATTTAAAACTGTTATTTTTAGTCCCTGTAATTTTTAAAAATCTTGTTTTAGTCCCTTAGGTCACCAATAACATATTTGAAAGTGACTAATTAAGACAGTTATGTAATATCAACTGGATTTAATGTGATATTTTCACCAATAGGAACACCAATAGGTAAATTTTATACAATAATGTTTGATAAGTTTCTTAACAAAATTTGAATATAAGGACTAAATTAAGATTTTTTGAAATTACAGGGACTAAAAACAACAATTTTTAATTTGAGGGATCAAAAATAGATTTACCCTAAATACTTTATTTTTTTAAAATATAATTCTATTTTTTTTGTGTATTGACATTTTATCTAGCATATTATCCGGGACAAATGTAATATATAAATTTTATAATTATATTTAATTGATAATTTATATCATACAACCTTTTGTATGAGTTATGTTAGATTTTATTTACCTGACTTTGTATTTTGTAACAAGTTAGGATATTTCTGTACTCCTGTTAATTTAATTTTTTTTTATAAAAAAAAAATTATCATACAATTAGATGTTTTATAATTTCCTTGATTTTATATTGATGATAAATATATTCCTAATTTTATTTGAAGTATTTATTCACTTAAAAAAAATATTTGATAAATATATTTTTATTTTAAAATCTTATTCATTTGTTAAAGTCACGCAGGAATAAATGATAAATTAAAAAGATGATTTTATAGACGATGGTTTTAGACGAGAGAATAAAGTAATAAATGAAATAGGCTAAACAAAAATCTGCTAAAGATTCTGTAAAAATAATAATAATAATCTGATAAAGATAAAAGGACAAAAAAAGAAAATTATAGAGAATGACATAACACTTTTGTTCTAAATCAACTTGGATATATTAAATGTAAATGAATATTTTATAAGAGTATTTTTAGATACTAGATTCGTGCAATATAGTTTTATATAAATTTTTTTTAACTTTTTATATAATTTAATTTTTTATTTATCATATTGATTTATGAATTATATGTTGATATTTTTAAAATAAATTATTAATAATTAAAAAATTATAAAGCACTATAAATTATTTATTTTATATTTAAAATATAATTTATATGTTTAAAAATATTTATTTATAAAATTTTTAGATATATAATAATCACTTAGCATGTGATATGTTTAAACTAAAATACTAATTTGTTGAAAAAATCTCAGAAAAGGGAGAGGAGACGATTGTTGTTGGAAGGGGAGAAAGACATTACAAAAAAAAAAAAAAAATACCGCGTGTATATATAAAATTCATAACTCTAAACGAAATTAATATATATATATATATATATATATATATATATATATAATATGATAGAATAGAGTAATAGTTGAAATAAGATATAAAAAAAATATGATAGAAGATGACCTAAGATTTTTCTTTGTTAATTTCGTAATGAGTACTTCGAGAGAATTGAACTATAGGAGAGTGAATTATACCATTGTAGCACAGAAAAATGTTTAAACAAAATTTGTGAGTGAGAGTGCGAAGAGTAAGCTCTTGTGGTGATAGGTTTTTATCAAATATATAGGAGTGAATATGAGTTAAAATTTAAAATGAGTATAAGAGAGAAAGATATGTAAATTGTTTTTATCTTGTCAAAGATGGCTAATTGGTAAAAAGTAGTAAATATAACATTAAATGTCTTAAAGACCATACTCGATGAAGAAAGACGAAAGATGGGCGAATGATACAACTTCGAGTCATAATGACTACTTTTGAAAAATTATTGTAAATAGAATAGGGCTTTGAAGAAGAAAATGAAATAATGTGACATAAACTTCGATTCCATCCAAGTGAAAGCAGTCTTTGTAAAATTTGATCTGATTTCATCTTGTAAAGTTTTGTATATAGGAACTTTTTGTTCCTTAGATCGCACTTTAAGTGTATATTTGTTTGATTAAAGTTAACTTTACTTTATCAACTTTTAAATGATATTTTATTTGATGATGTGTTTCAACGAAGAATTTTAAAATTTTTAAAAAAATTGAATTATTTTGATTTTAACTTTATCATTATTTACATCTTTATTTAAATAAATAAATTTAAATTTTTTTAATTTTTAATTTTACTTTAGATATAATAATTTGATAATTTGATTTTTGATAAAATTGA